AGGATCCAAGTAGATAGAGAAGCACAGGGGTCCAGTGACACTTGCTCCAATGATAGACAAGACTCTCAGCTCTGTCTGCTGCGTGCTATCAGCTAGGGGCGGGGAGGGAGGCGCACTCTGTCCTGGGCCCACTTGTGAGAACTCGGGGAGCAGAAATGGGGCTTCTAGTTTCCTGCAGGGGTGGCGTCCCTGGGGGTGGCAGGTGCAAGGCTACAGATGGCTCCTGGGCCCTGAGTAATCGGGAGTACTTCAGGGGAAATTGTGCAAGCATACCTTAGAGTATGCTGGTGCTTACTGAGAAGTTTCCTGATAGAAGAGCAAATCAGGTGTTTTAAGAATAAAACAATTATCAATTTTGACAACAAACTGTGCACCATAATCTGAAGTGGGAAACAAAATAAAAAGGAGCAAAATCAATGGGTAAAGCAATTTACTAATTAGAATTCATTTTTCCTTCCTTCCTTCCTTCCTTCCTTCCTTCCTTCCTTTCCTTCCTTCCTTCCTCCCTCCCTTCCTTCCTTCCTTCTTTCTTCCCTCCATCCCCTGCTTTTTCTTTCTTGGCCTTGGGCTTGAACTCAGGGCCTGGGCATGGCAACTTCACTTCCTGCTTTTTGGTGGTTTTTTAATTCGGAGATCAGAGCCTCGTGGATTTTCCTTGCCCAGGCTGGCTCTAAACCATGATCCTCAGATCTTAGCCTCCTGAGTAGCAAGCATTACAGGCATGAGTTACCAGTGCCCAGCCTGAACTCGGCCTGGGTGCTGTCACTCAGCTCTTCAGCTCAAAGTGAGCACTCTACCACTTGAGCCACAGTGCCACTTCCAGCTTTTTCTGGTAATGTGCTGCTGAGGAATGGAACCCAGGGCCTCATGCATGCAAGGCAAGCACTCTACCACTGAGTCACCTTCCCAGCCCTCCACAGCTTATTTCTTACACCAGAGAAATACTTTATTCCTTAGTGTATGCTTTACAAGTTTCCAGATAATTCTTACAATATGTTAAGCCCACACGATAGTATAATCTCTTAAATTTTAGACAGCACAGTCTGGTCTTGCTGTTTAAAAATGAGACATCATAGTTTTAACTTCAGTCAGGACTCATGTCCAAGTTCTTTAATACCTGGCTGTTTGCCAATGGCCTTCCACTCAGCAGTTACAGCTCAGGATTGGTAGAAGTTTAAGAGATCAGTCAACTGCAGATCTTTGTCCACCAAAAAAAAGGGGGGGTGGGGCTTATTTTTTTACTACGTTGAAAAAAAATCACTGTCAATTCATAAGGGACAATTATCAGAGAGCATCCCAGATTTTTAAAAGCTAGTACCTCTAGAAATGCTTACAATCATAGATTCTTCTTTATGTCTGATTTAATTGACTCTTACTAGTCATTAATCTCTACTGTGGTTTATATAATTGTCAGGATCTCCTTTGTGGTTTATATAGTTTTCATTTCGGGCATGTAGAAGTTGGATTTTGTATGTGTTATTAATTCTGTGAGCTGGCTATTGCAACCCATAAAGTTGTTAAGCAACTTTATACCTGCTCTTAGAATGTTAAAACCTAAAGAATAGAGGCGAAAATATGTAGAATAATTTTTGAAAATTCTTACTTGCATCTCTTATGAAAAATAATAGTTGGTGAACACAAAAATAATTTCATGGACATACCGACTTCATATATATATTTATATGTAAATATATATATATAAATATATTTATACATATATATTTTTTTAAGCCCGAGAAATCACTCACTGTAAACTAGCCATGGGAGTGCTCTCGCTTGCTCTCCTGCTGAGTCTATACTGCCACAATCAGTGGTATCAGCTCATGAGTGTGTTGGCATTTGCTCCTTTGCCTGCAGAAGTCTCTATTTTGTTTGTTTGGGGGGAGGGCGGAGGAGGGGAGGCAACCTGGGGCTTGAATTCAGGACCTGGGCACTGTCCCTGAGCTTTTTTGCTTAAGGCTAGTGTTCTACCACTTGAATCATAGCTCTACGTCCTGCTTTTGGGGGGAAATTAACTGGGGATAAAGAGTTTCATGGCTTTCCTGCTCTGTCTGGTTTCAAACTTGGATCCTCATATCTCAGCCTCCTGCCTAGCTAGGATTACAGGCATGAGCCAGCAGCAGGGGCCTCCTCTTTCAATGTTTCTAAGCATTGGAAAGAGAATGAGGCAGCCACGATGTGGTCTCAGAATACACACTCACACCTTTGCGACAGATTCCTCACTCACTGACGTCTTTAATGCTGAACACTCAAGAGAATTTAAGTATTACACTTGAAAATATGTCCTATCAGTTACTAGAATAATGGATTTTGAAGTTTAAGCTCCAGAAACCCTAAAGCTCTTCTGGATAAAAAGGACACCAAACTCTACAGGATTTCTTACGGGTTTGGCCAAATTCTACTGCGCTGCTTGGGCCTGCAGTGTAAACATACCACAGAAAATGGCACTGCTATACCCTGGGGCTGTACAATTTTACTATGTGATGAAATGTCTCCATGTCAGGACAAACTATCCCAGTGAAGCTTTCAATCATGAGCCCAATGGATGGGTGCAAAGTAAAACAGAGAGACTCTAAAGCAAAAGGCAGCCAGCCATTCTTTAGGAAGTTAAAGTAGAAGTAAGAAATCAGTTTTATTATTTGCCAGAACCCTCAACCCCTTTTGCATGTATTAGTTTTTGCATTACTTCTTCCCCTCCTTCCTTTCCTCCTCCTTCTCTTTTTCTTCTTTCTTTTCCCTTTTCTTCCTCCTCCTCCCTTTCTCTTTTTCCTCTTTTCCCTCCTTCTTTGGTAGTACTCAGGTTTGTATGGCCTCATACTTGCTATGGCACACTACCATTTGAGCCACGTAATCCTTTTTAAGAATGATAGCTTCAGTTATTTTTCAAATAGGGTATCATGGTTTTACCCCAACTATCCTGGACTTGGATTCTCTTATTTATTCTGAGTACGTGGATGACAAGCGAGTACTACGATGCCTGACCCACATGAATCTTTTTGATACCAGCGTTTTACTCAAATAATATTTAAAAGCTGTTTGTTATCTTCTCAGGTATTTGAAAATACATTTTAAAAAGTAAATTGTATATGTGTGTTAGAGTATATATCCTTTAACTTCACAATGCTTTTATGGATAAAAAGTAAGGAACAAAGTGCTAGAATCACCCTAAATGTTTCCCAACAAGGAAATATGTAACACCTTTTTCAAAAGGTTTAAAGTTTAACTTTTTGAGAAATTTTTGCAAATCTGGGAAATCTCAAGGTATGCTGTTAAGTGAAAAGAAGAGGCTGAAGAGAACACACATAAAACATACATGAAGGGCCACACACATACACATGCACATACGAAGGGAAACAGTTATGAAGAGACTCACAGAAAACATGTATCATGTATGCCTGACTTTTATCCTAATTTTGTTTGAAAGTTTCTTAGAGGAAAAAGAAAAACTCTCAAAAATAGAAATAGTAACAGGTGTTTGTCTGTTTTCCCATTTGCTAACAAGTGCTTGCATGTTTTTGTAAGAAAAATATTTATTTAGTTTTAATATAAAAACAAGAAGGAACTTTATCAAAGTGTACATAGTTGTTAATCACTGGGCTCAGAGAGGATGGTCTTTTCCTTCATTTGTTCTTTTCAGAGAGCACATTCCTGGGCTCTGGCTAGGGAATTGCACTTGTATCTTCAACTTTGCTCTTAACACCTGGCAGTGACTTATTAGGAAGCAACTCAGCAGGTATTTTATTGAACCCTGATATGCAAAATATCAATGCTTCATTCTGATTCCTTGCTGTGAATTCTAATGAGAAGTTTTACTGGGAGAATGTTTAAACTGAATTAAGGAAGATTTTTTCCCCCCAAATGATTTGTGTTTTGCTGCCAAAGTCCTTTGCCATAAAAGGTCTGTTTGTTTATTTTGTTGGGTTTTTGAGGCAAGGTCTTATTATAGAACTCAGGCTGGCCTCAAACTTCTGATTCTCCTGCCTTAACTTCCTCATGTTGGGTTTACAGCTACCAAGCCCAGCTAAAATATTTACTTCTCTTATGGCTGAGTTTGATACTACCACTTCACCAGCTTGAGCCTAGGTGTTCCAAACTCTGTGGCATTATCTGCATTCTAATTGACTCATTCTACTGTTCCCTAATGAAGAGGTGCTAGCTATGTATTAGGAATATCTCTATATTTTTTTCCTGACTTGTTTGTCCTGACTCTGGTGATCAGACCTTTAAATAGAACACAAAAGACAAAGGAATTCATTTCTACAAAAGACACATCCTTCCTTTAATGTTTTCCAGTTAAAAAAACAGAATAGATAGTTTTCCCCATTTCTCCATTCTAAAATATTCATGAGCTGTTAAATGTGTCTGGATGTTAGAAGGCCACAATGTGTAGCTTATTGCCATTTCACTCATGGGAAACAATCTTTATTCACATGTCTAGATTATTTAGCATGATAAGCCAAATTGAGAGAGGTTGGAAGAGAAGGGGAAAGGTGTGCTCACATACTACATAAATGACTAATTGTAGATAAAAGTATTTGACTTACCTGCAAAATACTGTACATGGACACCACAGCGTGAGAAACATTTATACATGACAGATTCAAAAATAGATACAGTAAAGAATAATGTGGAATTGTCAAGTAACCAAAAACCTTCTGGTGCTAACAAATGGTGATGTTCCATCAAATGTTATGCCCACTAAACAATATCTAAACAAACTCTTTACAAAGGCAAGTCATTTTAAATTTGAAAATTGCCTAGGGAAAAAAATGTTAAAATATCCACCAAATTGCATTTTTCCAATTGCCAGAAAATAGCATCAACATTGAATGTGGCTACCCCAATTAGTGGCCTGCAATTATTGTTCTTTTACGCTGCCTACCTTTCTCCTTCAACATTCTTTCTTTTGTTATAGAGAAATAACTTCATGAGGAAAATTAACTCTAAAACAAAACACCAACATAGCCACTGCAAAGATAAATAAAAATTGAAAAGCCAACCTTTATTCCACTTTGAACAAGTTTGTGAATATCCAAATAAGGCTCCTTGAAAATGTCTCCTGCAGGGGTCAGAATCTTCACGTAACCTTCTTTTTCCAAAATAAAGAGCCGGTGAGAGCCGTCCCCACTGTGCACTGCACCCACAGGCTGCCGTAGCCCGCTCACCACCTCCTGCACGCAGAAGCAGTTGGGCTTGTGCTTCCTAAACGGATGGGAAATGACACCAACAGTAAGGCTTGTGTGTCTTTGTTGAGACACATCATCCTTCCCAAAATCCATTTCTTCTAGAAACCAATGGTTTTGCAAAGACACAGAGTAACTCACCCAACTCACACCTTTGTGTAATTCTTGTGATTCCTTTTCAGTTTTTTAATGGAAAATAGTAAAATGGCTTTCTCTCAGAAAGCCAACGTGAGGATCCAAAACATGAAGATTTAACATTTTCATCGGCTCATTATCTCATCTTGCAGTGGCTATAATTAAAATGGGCTTTTACTGACAATAATGAACCCCTTACAAGAAGGGACTGAGAAGGTTCTAAGATCTATTTATAAAAATCTGATTTGCTAATAATAATTGTACCAAATATTTCCACAGCACCATAAGCTTACAACAATCATAAAATTCAAGCTTAAAACTATGCCTATAAAATTCATATGAGTCATAGAGAAGCCAAGCTCGTAACATGGGATTAGTGGTCTAAGTATTAAAAGCATTTAAGCTATGATTTTAGAAAAGCAAACTACCCAAAAGAAAGCACCAAGTGACTGGGGAATAGAGCTAGCTGCTGAACATAATAAGCACGCACAGTTGAGGGACTGTTTTTAAAACCACAGTTTTGTCACTTTTTTTCTCTCTCAAGAATCAAGAACATTTATACGTATGGACCTGCTGATCTCCTCGGCTTTGTCATATTCTTCCATCTGATCCAAGTAGTTAGAGGCTGGCCCTCTGACTTGTTTTCTGGGAAAATCTGGAAAGCACAGCCCACCATCTTTTCTCGCATAGTAAAAGCAAAACTCCTCAGCCGTTGTTTGAAGGAAACCTTAAAAAATAAAATGGTGAAAAGACTCATCAGAAATACAGCACTGCAGCTGAACTACCTCATTTGGTGTCTTATTTTAAAAAGTGTATGAATATGCTAGGATAATAAGTAATGGAAACAGAAGGACGGATGGACAATTGGAATTGCATGAGGGTTGGGGGGGGGAGGGAGATGATTTCTTCTTTAACCAGAAAGAAAGAAATGAAGAACTGCAGTAAAAGTGGCCTTGTGCGTGGCATATCCCAGGCTGGTAGGAAATGCACGTGGTACCAGCTATGGGATGCTTGGTAACTACTGCACTATTGTTCCAAGTTTCCTCAATGAGCAGTGAGCTGACTTCCTCCCTCTCTGGCATTTTCCCCTACTAAATTACTTCCTGGAAAAGACAAGTTACAATCAAGGAAGAGGCTATCAAGGACCAATGTGGGGTATTTTATAAGTCGTATTGGGTTGCCCCTCAGATGCCATTAAATAAGGAGCCCTATAAGAGAGAGAAAAGGAGGGAAAACAGAATATCCTATTCAAGGGACACATAGGAAAATGGAATCAGGTAACTTAAGGGGACCAGTGGGGTGGGGACAGATGGGTAAAGAATGATGAAGGGTGACACTGGTCAAGACCTGTTGCACCCCTAAACTGACACGTTGAACTGAAATGCCTCTGAACAACTACATAAAGATATTTTTAAAAATCTTCATAATAAATGACTGACTCCCTGTGTGACCTTCAGTGCTAAGTAGAGGCTAGCACTAAGGCCTCTGTTTCTAAATAAGTAAAAAACATTTTCCCTGTACTTTATGTATAGATAATGATGATTTTGCAATTCGAAAATTCTATTTTATAAATGGCAATTTATAACTTACCCTATCTAATCTTCTCAAGCAGAGAAGCTGACATATCATTGAACTAAAACACCCCTAGGAAGGGACCAAGAACTGGAAAGTTACTTTTCTTTGAAAAAATATTCAAGCATTAGAAATTGGAGAAAGGACCAAAGGTTGTAGCATCATTTATTTATCTTGAGCAATTTACTACAACAGATAACTTTTCCCCTTCCATTCTTCAATGGCTAAGAACTTGGATGACAACTGCCTACTGGTGGTAAACAAGTCTCCTTGAGTAAAATTAAGAGAGGGAAAGTTCAAGTTTATTTCAGCACATAATCTGTACATTCCAACATTGTAGTCTGTCAATCAGTACCACCTCAGGAGCCATCAATGAGCATTGCTGGTGGCTGATACCATTTTTTTTTTGTTGGTTGTGGGGCTTGAACTCTGGGCTTGGGTGCTGTCCCTGAGTTCTTCAGCTCAAGGCTAGTGGTCTACCACTTGAGCCACAGTGCCACTTCCAGGTTTCTGAATGGTTTATTCGAGATAAGAGTCTCATGGAATTTCCTTCCCTGGGCTGGTTTTGAACCGTGATCCTCAGATCTCAGTCTCCTGAGTAGCTAGGAATATAGGCATGAGCTATCAGCATCCAGATGCTGATATCATTTTTAAAAGGATTTCTTATAGCTGGGGAAAAATAGAAGGAAATGAGAAATCACTTTCAAATAGTCTCTCTTGAGAACACATTCATCTATTTCCATAAACTGTGGCCCAGGCGGTAGTCTTGACAAATCATAAAAGTACAAAAAATGGGTCTGGGAAGGTGGCTCAGTGGTAGAGTGCTTGCCTTGCATGCACGAGGCCCTCAGTTGGATTCCTCAGCACCACATAAGCAGAAAAAGCTGGAAATGGTACTGTGGCTCAAGTGGTAGAGAGCTAGCCTTGAACTGAAGAGCTCAGGGACAGCCCCCAGACCCAGAGTTCAGGCCCCATGACCAACAAAAAGCAAACAACAACAAAAAACATTAATAAGGAATCCTTCCTTTCATCTCACAAACCCCAGGCCCATGCGAGGAACCTCAGTGTAAAGGAGGGAGCTAGTGCCGGAGGCTTTTACTACAAAATGTGCACCTTTTTCTTACAACCATGATATATGGAATGAAGTAAATCCTTTTAAAAGTAGCATTAGTCATTTTCCCTTGAAGGATCTGCTTTTTCTGTGGACAGTGATGAAACAGACCCATTTTGTTGTGAGGATTCAAAAAGCATCTGATTTCAAGGCACTGATCAACATGTCTTGCAAGGGAAGATGAACCCTTCCGCAGCCCTCCACAGGCTCCCTGAGGAGTGGCTGGCTGGAGGCGAGCATTCAGCCCGTTCCAGATTAGTAGAACGTGATGGGTGTGAACTGTCCATACTCACAAAGTATTGCAGTGGTTTTTATTGTTACTGTCTGAGTGCACCAGTACCAGGGCTTGAACTCAGGGCCTGGGTAATGTTCTTTAGCTGTTTCACTCAAGGTTAGCATTCTTTCACATCCACGTGAGCCACAGCTCCCCTTCTGGCTTTTTGCTGGTTAGTTGGAGATGAGATTCTCATAGACTTTGCTGCCAGGACTGACTTGGATCTCAGCCTACTGAGTAGCTAGGATTAGGAGTGTGAGCCACTGGCTCCTGACGTGGGGATTCTAGTTCCGCTATACCATAGAAAACCCTACAGACTACTGACATGCAAAGCAGTTATCCCTAGGGAGCATTCTGTAGTCTAGGTTTTCCCTTCTCAACGTGTATTCTAGAGAAGTTATCTCTCCTCCTTATATGTGTGCTCACCACGAAAAGGAAAAGAGGGAAATGAGCCCCCTGTTGCAAAAGGGGCTGCACACACACAGAGCGCGCTCTAATGGAGTGTCCGTCCATGCCCACTGGCTTGCTGTCCTTGGGACTAACAGGACATCTGTGTAAGGGATCTGATGTAGTTAGGAGCCATTGTGGGTTCCAGAAACTCAATAGACTCAAACTCTTGACCTTGGCCTCATTAGCGACAGGATTAAGCCAATTGAACTAATTGGGTGCAGACCTTTCACACTACAATAAACCAGGGCTGCAGAGATGACTGACGAAAACCATTATGATAACAGGTAGAGAGAAAGGAGGAGGGCTGGTGAATGTGTGGCCATTAGCATGCTTTCCACTGAGAGTATTACGCCACCTTTTAATGAACAACAGAGTTTCTACTCTGCTCATTCAGGTGAAAGAAAAAAACTTGGGGGGATTAAGAATAGAGCTCCTGTGTTACCTTAATGTCATTTCAGCATTTTGTTTTGTTTTGCTAATGTTGAAATGCTAGTTCCCTAACAACTAGCGAATAGTGAGGTTAATAAAATTCTTATGCATGCTTACTTATATTGCTGTTTAATTTCTTTTCCCATTTTTAGGAGGGAAGTAAGTGACTCATGATTGTTTCTAAATTAATATGTCTAGAAATGAACTAACTTCAGGCTATAAGAGTATTTGGAAATGGCCGGGCTATCGTTAGCCTATGAAAGAAAAGCAACAGGTGAGGTCATTTATATATTTATTTCTTCACATATTGAGCAACAGAGGGAAAAATGACTCTCTCAATTCTCTTAAAATTTTTTTTCTTTTAGAAAAAAATACCCCCTAGGATGCCTTCCTCTTCAAGGATTTGATTTCTAGAAAGAAGAGGCCATTTGTAAAGGAAGTGAGATATGTTGACAACTTTCTTTCAAAAAAAAATTTCAAAGTAGCTGTTTTCCACAATTTTGAACTGCCAAGAAAAGTAAACCATATTATTAAATGGACTTAGAAAATCCTGACAAACTTGCTTATATACCCATTTCTGAAAAACTAGCACTCTACAAGTCTAAAGATACTTTTCTGTGCAGCAAATGTGGGAGGGGGTAGAGAGTCCCACCTTGTGCATTCTACTTTAGAAAATGGCAACCTGCTTTTCAAGGATCAATCTGTCTAACAAAGCCGGGGCCAGTGGTTCATGTCTAGAATCCTAGCTACTCAGGAAATTGGGATCTGAGGATCAAAGATCAAACCAGCTGGGGCAGGAAAAAGCTGCAAGTAGAGCTGTGGCTCAAGTGGTAGAATGCCAGTCTTGAGGGAAAAGCACCCTGGCACACTTGCAGACACATGCATGTGCACGCACACACACAGACTCACACACACACACACACACACAAATCTGGGTATCAATTAAATGATGCATAGAGTACCTTATTGCAGCTCACCGTGGGGACATGCATGGGGACAAGTATTTCAAATGATGATTGGTGTAAACCTAGGAAGGACAGCCCTGTCTGCTAAGGCCTATGCCTTCCATTGTGTAGAAGGCACCGGGCACTCTCTGCTTCGAGAGGAGAGCTTTCATCTGGTTATCTTTCAAGGCAGCCTGGGTGGCCACCAAGAGCACTTGACATCTTGATGCACTTCAGCAGTTTTACATATATACAAACTTTGGAGAAAAATAAATTTATCATTCATCACCACATATGTTGACCCGGGGAGCGGCAGGCCTGCTTGCAGGACTCGCTCTGCACTGTCGGCTGAGCTCTCCTCTTGGGGGGGATGCTGTGGGGGTTTTCTGAGGGGGAGGATGCTAAAAGAACGAAATACAGAAAGCCCCTCCCCCCGTCCCGTGAAGGGGCCCGCATGCCTTGCAGAGAGCACAGGGGGTTTCTCGAGGGGAGCTAAAGGGAAGCGGAAGCGGGTTGGTGTCCCTTTCAAGGTGTGACGGGAAAAGCAGACTTGAACCTTTCTGGTTTATAGTCTGTTATCACTTCTCTGCAGGCCATTGAGCAGCTCTGACCTACTCCACCGTGCTTTGGGGAATGTGGTCAAGAGGAAGAAACAGCTGGGTTAAGGGAAGTCTCAGGAACGTGGCTGTAGTTTATAAAAACAATAATAATATTTTCCCATTCCGTGGATTTAGGTATACCTCGTGCTATACCCAAAGGGAGGAAGCTACTAGTCAAAATGTTTCTTTATTACAAAAGCACTTATAAGAGAATTCTATTGACCATAAAAATGTCAGGGGGAAAAAAAAACATTAAAATGTATAGAGCAGTTAAAAAATAATCTCTAGTCAGGTGCTGGTGGTTCACGCCTGTAATCCTAGCTATGCAGAAGGGATCTGAGGATCCTGGTTCAAAGCCAGACTGGCCAAGAAAATCCATGAGTCTTATGACCAATTAACCATCCGAAAGCCAGAAGTGGAGGTGTGGCTTAAGTAGCACAGATCCAGCCTTGAGCACAAAAAGCTAAGCAATAGCACTCAGGCCCTGAGTTCAAGCCCCAGTATCAGTACTGAAAAACAAAAAAATCTGTTGAGTACATGCAACAGTTCATAAAAGTTTGCTTGTGTAACGTTGCCTAACTAAACATAATTTGTCTCATTACATTTGTTTCTTCCTGTGTTGATTTTTCCAATTAAAGCAACAACAACCCGCATTCACAAGGTTCTGATGATAAACTTAATCACAGCCTAGGGATGCATATGTTTATCAAAGTCTGAAATACGATGATGGCCAGGTGTGTTTGTGAGACCACGGGCACAAGCTTCTGCATTTATCCAAAGCCTTCTCTGTGTACTCACTGACTACCGTAGGGACTCGGATTTTATCCTCTGTCCACTCTTCCAACCTTCACACAGGTTTCTGAGACTTAGCACTGGGCATTTTATGTGAAAAGTCTGTGTCACATGTGACATTTTGAGATTCCTAGGCATATTCCATTTGTAGAGAACTCTTAGAAGTCAGTGGACTTTTTCCAGTCACATGTCAGCTGTGTAGAAGAGACTATGTTAATATTGGCGGTGGGAGGGAAGGAAGACTCCAACAAAAAATTTGTATTGGGTAGAGGTGGAGAGCATGCTTAGCATGCTCAAGGCTCTGGGTTCAGTCCTCAGGTCAAAAAAAAAATCAAAAAAGAAATTTGTACTGATAAGCTAATGTGTATAAAGTCTGCCACCTATATAAGTGTGCATGTGTGTGTGTGTGTGTGTGTGTGTGTGTGCGTGCGTGCATGCACGTGCATGCATACCAGTTCTGCGGCTTGACCTCAGTGCCCTATGCTCTCACTTGGCTTTTTTAAAATTTTCACTCAAGGTTGGTACCCTATCACTTGAGCTGTACCTCCACTTCTGCCATTTTGCCAGTTAATTGGAGATAATAGTCTCACATTTTTCTGCCAGAGCTGGCTTTGAACTAGGATCCTCAGATCTCAGCCTCGCAAGTAGCTAGGATTACAGGATAAGCCGAAAGTGCCCAGCTCTATAATATTGATTTACCCCCCACAGTGTAGACTGATATTATAGTACTTTTTTGATATTAGAGTACTTTTCACATCAATAAAAATTACTTAGAAAGCAAAGCAGGGATTCTGAGAGGTGAATGCTCATCAATAAGCATTTAAGACCAGCTGTCTTATCAGGGTATATTGCAATGATTAATTTAATTTATGCTTTTCTTCTTTTCTTTTTTTCTTACCTGGAATATGACCTCGGCAAGTATAAAAGAATTCTTTGCAGTAGTCCGGGCAGAGCAGGGGCAGTACTAGGTCTCTTTCCAGGACTTCTCTCTCGGGTGAGTGGAACAGGCTCTGAGAATGCGGAGAACAGGGTGCGCACTTGACTTCCTCAAGCAACCTCCCACATTCTGTGTTGTTGGTAGCAGAAAATATCTGAAAGTCAAAAAAAATCAAAATTGAACATCTTTTTTTGATGCATGAGGTTATGGCAGGCTGTGTGGAAATCACTTAAGTCGGGAAGTTTTCTTCAGACCATGAAACTCTCTGGAAAGAGTCACTGTGCCACCTTGATCAGGACTCCTGGGGTCTTGTATGGTCCTCAGGACACACACGTGCTTCGGACCCACGCAAATTAAAAGTCTATGAGTCTGGTTTACCAGCGAGGAAAATTCAAAGACAATTCCATGTAGACCGCTTAATTATTTATCACTTCATTTTTGCCTTATATACTAAATTTTATTAACATTCAACAATTCTAACACAAGTTTTTTTTTTTTAAAGATATGGCTTATTTCTGTCTTAGGTGAAAATCTGTTTCATACCTGAAAATCCTAATATGATAGTCTCAAACCTATATGTGAATAACATTTTTAACTTTCAATCTGCAAACTCCAGGGGGAAAGTTTTCTAAACTGCCTTTCATGTTCTATAAAAATACCCGAAGCTGAATTAAATAGGTTTAAGACCAAATTTTATTATTCATTATATCATAGCCAGGAAAAATTTTCTAACTAGCTGCTCAGGTATGTTATAAACATGAACAAACACAAGAGTTTAATGAAAGTGCTTTTGTATAGCAGTGAATTTTAAAGGAAAAGGCATACTTTTAATTTTATTTTTTTTTCAACGATATGTCTTTTATTTCAGTAAGACCAATTAGGGACTTACTGATTCACTGATGTCAGCAATACATAGGTAGAAGAGGCCTTGATATTGGATTTTGAAAACCTGATCAGGGGTTTCCTTAATACATAGAGAAGACAATGTCAGCTCAATATTTGAGGAAGAAAACATGCTATCTCAAACATGGATTCTTTTTTTCAGAATATGATATAATATAAAGTGAATTAAATTTATCTTTTTCCTCATTTATCCAACTTTATTTCTACTAAATGACTTCTTTGGAACTATGTACCAAAGTTAAAAGTTTTAAGTGCCAGACCATTGCTTGAGGATAATATTTCATTACAAGTTTCTAGTTTGAAGAAATCACATGGCTTTTGGATGGGGATATTACAGAGATCATTAAAAAAAACTGGATCCAAAAGAGCAAGGCAACTTAAAAAAAAAAAAAACATTGAATACAAGCATGTTGAAATCTGATATGCAGTACTTTAAAGTCCAGTAGAAATTATACTATCTCAGGGGGCAAAAGATCCAACCATATGATTGATATATTAGAATTACCTACTTTACTCAAAAAAAGTTATTAGTTATGGTTCTATTTTTATTTTAGCTATTTATTTAATTGACAATTGGGTGAATACTTCAAATTTTGTAAACTGAAACATACACCAGACAGCTAGAATTTGCATTCCAAGAATGTTTCAAATATCTCTTATTCTCCATACTCTGGCAAATCTTAACAGACCTGTTCAATATTAATAAAGTTCATCTTGATTCTGTTTGTTTATCAGAGAGCAATCCACTCAGAATAAAACAACTGCAGATCATTGAAGCTACCACCTCTTGCTGCCTGAAATTAGATTGTAATAACTTTTGTTTTTATGGAGAAAATGGATGCTTCCTTTTTTTTTTTAACTGACACAACATGATCCCTATATATTCTGCCAGCTGCTGTTCAGGAGGAGCTTGATGTTAGTGCCTAAAGAATTTGATCTTTTACAATTTGGAATGTGTCCTGGCCACAAGATCTCTCATCAAAAGTTTCAGAAGGAGGATTCAGTAAATCGAGTATCGGAAATCAAGTATAATATTATTCTTTGTAAAGCTGCATGCTGTTCCGGCTCAGCAGGATGGTCACATTCTGCTTCGTGTGAGGGCTGCAGCGCATACCTATTTGAAGATAGATAGAGCCATCATTCTGGCTTTGGTTTCAATGAACCAATGGTCTTACTGAAGTCAATTAAACTGACTCAGCCCAAGCTACAACACTGGTTTAGACAGATGAGTAGTTGGGGGGGGGGGAAGAGGGCAGTGATTTTTTCTTTCCTTTCCTTTTCTTGTTTTTGGCCATGTGTCTGTGTTCATGCAGATCTTCAACTTTATGTCTGACAATGCCATCAATCTTAAGAAGAAATTTAAGCTAATTTCCTGTTTTGATTTTTAAAAGCCAAATAAAAAAAAACATCAAATTATGGTGATTTAAACTAAATATACTTTGGAAATCATGTACAACTTTGAAACATCATTACAGCATGCTTAGTAATGATTGTGGCTACTGATGACTAAGTTGGAACATCTGGCAGGTCATCCTTTAATCACTGCCTACTATGAAAGTGAAATACGTAGAGAAAGGTGAGATAAATACTAGAATACGGAATGAAGGCCTAGCCTACAACAATAGCTTATCAATAAACAGTAAAACAGGCAACAGAAGGCTTCTGTATTTCTCCTTATTTATAAATGAATGAAACAAGGTAACCCACACGGGTTCAATAAAGGGACAGGAGAAGAAAATCTGTGACAGTCCACTGAGATATTGCCTTAAAATGGCTTGGTACACACACACACACACACACAGAAAAGTTATTTCTAAAACATCATATGCCTACAAGGTTGTTCAGCTGTTGGGTAGAACACATGCCCCTCCGGACTATAGTGCTGGATTATGTCATTACAGAGTTCAGTTTCAATTTTAGGCTAATATGTAAATAGATCATTGTACTAAGGCAGCTGTTAAAGGGACCCCAGGATGAGTTATTTGTTTAGTTTTGGATGTGTTCAACAATAGCCTTTGTCCCTGAAAGAGCCAGAGCAAACAAATGATTGTAAAAGGGCACACTTGAAAACAATTACTTTTCACCCATTCCTTGACAGCTTTGGCTGCAAAACCACCCAAGGTAGAGAGAACTTCTGTGCCTGTTTGGCTACAAGTTTTAGAAATGAGAGTGTTTCAGTTGATTCCAGATTCCATTTAGCTAATGGGAATTAGATCCTTGTCACAAGCTGCACATAAGAGCTGCAAAAAAATATTGCGAAGACTTATGTTTGTCCTAACTTTTGGCAGAACTTATTTTTTAATGGTAGTTAACAATCTAGAATATGTAACTTGATAGAAATACACCAAGATGTAAAACATGAGACTATACCATGTCCAAGGACTTAAGCTCAGTGGTAGCTCATTAAAGAAAACATGTTAGTAGAGATTTCCTTGCATAGCTAAGCATGCCCAGTATTCCTATGGAGTTTGATGCTAAAAGTCTAAGAAGTTTCTTTCCTGAGGAAAAAGCTACTACTGCAGTTTCTAGAAAAGCTGCAGAAATGAAAAAAAAAATCCGAATTTTTTTCTTTCACAAACAAAATAGGGTTCTTTCAAATGATCGTCATTTCTCCTGTACACACATTATGAAATATGACCCTAACATATATTATAATCCAGGAAGGCTTATGGAAAAAAAGGGAAACACTGATGTTTATTATAAAATAACATGTTTTAAAAACTATTAAAATTTGAGAACTCACGGAAGTCAAGAATGCCTTTGCACAAGTCTATTGAATCTCTGTTTTGAACAATTTGGGTACTGTTCGTTTATAAACCACTTGCAATGGAACCAAGAAAGTCTAGTGGACCTAACTTAATTCAGACACACTTTCCAAAAGAGTAGGGGTTGTTGGCTACTGGAAACACATAAAACAGAAAGGAATTTGGATAGCTGTCATGGCAGATTGCTTCCTTAAAAAATGATTTCCTCAAGAGAAAATCAAATATAGGCTCCCTTAAGGGATTAACTCCCCCTCCCCCTGCCCGTCCTGCCACCCATCCTCTTCTCCCAACTATATTTATTTGAGAACAAAGTTTTCATTCTGCATCTTCCTGGAAGATCCCAGGCATCTAGAGACACTCGGGGACCTTTCCTGACAACTGTTTCTAAACCTTCTCTGAATTTCCGGGTTCTTGGGGGGCTCCTGGGAAAAACCTTTAAGAAATCTGAATGTAGCTGGCTTTGTAACTTAATTCAATTAGAATCCTGGCGCTTAATGACATTGTTTGGAATACAACGCTTTTAGTATCCGTTCCCCGGGTCTCACAGCGGCGGCTGCATATGGTAAGAATAAAGGGTGGGTTGCAGCCGAAGCCCTGTGGCAAGACAGTTCTCACTCATCTGGGAATAGAGCGAGCTGGACAAACGCTCCCTCAAAAGGCATGGACATTTGGACAGAGCCGGGGATTGAAAGAGAACGATGTTCTCTAGTTTCACCCATTAGAGAACCAACTAACAAATACAATGGTGTTGTTGTTATTCTTTTGCCATAAGCAACAGGGCTCCGTGTGTGGGCAGCAGTTTAGTGGGGAGGAGGAGAAGTCGACCCCTTTTTGTCCTATTGATTTTTTTCCCTATTTGCATGACTTGAGCAAATTAAATGATGCAATATGGCTTTTTGTTACAAAACAAAGTGAGATACCACCCAGACACATATGTTGATTCGTCGGAGCTGTTTACATGAGAATGGAGGGAAATCTACCGTGAACTGAGCATAAAAATTAGATTCAGCCGGGTATTTTTTTAGTGCCTGGGCCGGCCAGACTGGAGCACAAGTTTTCCAAGTCTCTCAGGTCTTTGACAACTGCAACGTCCCAAGAAACCTAAAATGGGGAGAAGGGGGGGGGCGGGACACCTGATGGTTTGATTGTGAACACGCGCGCAGGCGCGCACACACACCCCGCAGGGC